TTAGTAGATGAACCTCAGAAATGTGCAAAATGTGTAAAATTAAAGAAATGGCGCGCTTTTAAAGAAAAACTTTGAATTTTATTGAAAATTTTTGCACTATTTTGCAATAAAAAGGACTTTAATGTTCAATTTATTTCATACATTTAGGTTCATATGTTAGATACTATTGTCATGAATATGTGCAAAAAATTTGAGCGCGATTGATAAACTAGTTTTTGAGTCATCAGCCACACCAATTGTAAAAATGTAGTTTTGAGAAAAACGCGTTTAAAGTTTCAGTTCTCCGCGCTGAACGCGTGTATACCCGCGGCGCTAATCGGCCATAACTTCAAAAGGGCTTCGTATTTCACTTTAAAATTTTGAGACAATATTTTTAAGATGTTACACTAACATTTTATGGAAAAAAAAAAATTTTCAATTTTTTAAGATTCTAAAGGTATTTCCCCCCTTAATAATCAATTGAAATAAAACTACTATCTAAGAGTACACTTTTAACATGATACTTAAAATGTTACAATTACGTTATGTCTAATAATAACGCAACTAACATTTTCGTAAAAAATTGCCACTATTATAATTTAATCACTATCTTACTGTACTTATCCTCTAAATTCTTAACGCTAAGACTACCGAACTTGAACGGTTCCCAAACTTCTTGTTTTGTATTTCAAATCTTGGTAAAATGTTTTTCTTAAAATCTGTGTCAATTTGTATCGAGGCAAGGAATGTGTATATTCAATTATATTAAACCATTTGTCTGTTTTTTCTGCTCTACCTTTAATGTTAAATTATGTGTACATTGATATAGATAGACATTATTTATTTTAATAAACTTTTTACGTTTCGGAAAAAATCAAACCATAAAGTACAGAGACTCGACAACTCATAAATTACAGATTCGAAATTGATTCACTAAAAGGTAAATATTTCGTAAATATGGTTTAATATCAAAATATCGGTAAAGAAAGCATGAAAAATATCTGTCCGAAATTGTTGGAACTTTTCGATAAAGTTGAGGCCACAAAATGGTGAAAAGTATCGGTGCATGGTCTTAAATAAACAGCGTTCGCTGTCGTTGGCAGATCCTGCGATTTATCTTCGTTACCGGACGATATAAAGTCCGTAAACATTTTTACAGGAAGGATGAGAACCACTGGGCAGCAGGTTGCCGGAACTAGAATGGTACGGGGGAGAAGAGGGTTGGCTCGATCGACGGCTATAAATCAGGAAGGACACGCGAAGCTCGCCGTTCCTCCTGCCTCTATCAGGACAAACTCCTTCCAGGAGCACGCTTCTACAAAGTATCGACCGACGGATAAAGGAAGAAAACTGAACTCCCAGCGGCGCATTCTTCGTCTACGCGCCGAACGAACGAACATTCTGTACTCCCTCGAACATTGAATTTACGACAAGAATGCTTAAAACGCTTTCTCCCATCGTTCGCGACATCGTTATCGCGTGCAACTTGACTGACATCTCGATCATGCGATATATACCTGACGACAGAGAATTCCACGATTCTGTAACTGTCACCCTTGCAAATGGAATTCAAGTATTAGGTTGTTGTCTATCGATCGCCTTGTTGGGGTGCAATAATACATTTATATGTATCATAAAGCCAATGTTGAATACAATCATAAATCTGGACTTCCTAAAATTCATTTTTGTAGCTGTTTCTTGGACGAACAACAATTTCTTTAAACTAACCGTTTTCTTTGATATTTTCGTTAATCCAGCGAACCTTGTGGTTTTATTACCCGTTAAATGAACAAGTGATCTTTATACAAGTTATCTGAGGTGAATTGAGGATGACCAACAGCCAAGGGTGCTTTCTGCTTTAGCGATGAACTTCATATTTCAATAACCAATGAAACTACTTTCCGCTACCTGACTAACCAAATTTTTAAAAGAACCAATCCGCTTATGCATCCTCCAACAGCATACTTATCCCAATTCTTTAGCAAGTTTCACAAACACAATTTTCTTGTTAAAAAGTAAGATATTAATGGAATGTCAGAGTAAACATGTTAACTTTTTCAAGGTATTACGTGGTGTTCAATAAAGAAACGTTATACAATCTACAATTCTCATTTTTAGATCCTCAATTTGGCTGTACGTTAGTTAATTCTTTTTAAACAAGTAAATTCATACTCCGCAATCTAATCAGCTTGAACTGAGTTAAGTTAAAATACAACGCATAAATAAAGTTTACTAAAACAAGCGAAACAAGTATAGAAATGGACGGTGCACAATATTAGAAATCAATGTAGGTGAAACAAAATTAGTAATAACAGGAAGAATATAATAATAAAAGGGAGAATATTAAAAAGGAAATAAAAATAAAATATAACAAAATTATTTTAGATTGAAACAAACCATCTAAATTTTCCACCACGGTTTTACCAATTTATCTGTTCTCTTAAACTTTCCGAACTTTCTTTTTTGTTTGAATAGCTCTAAGCACTTTCTGACTATTCTATAATTTTCAGTTTTCTCAGGGTCTCCTACACGTCTGGTCAATGTCAGATTATACATTTGGCAGCCAGACTTGTACGTGCCTACGTTTACCGTTAACTTTCTCTTTCACCCTTTTAACCTCTTCAACAAAAAGGGCCATAAAAACTGGACATCGCGCCGCTCGAGACAGTCGTAAATTTGGTACTGACATGTTACACTCGCGGAATCGCTGACTCACATATTACCGGTCTTGATTAATTAAACTTTATGTTATATTGTTCAATACATGTACTGCGTGATCATTAAATATTCAACTTCTCATTTACACCTACATCCTCACACTTTGCTTAAAAAATAAAAAAATAAGATACAAAAAGTACACAAGTATTATGTATCAAGTTTAAATAATAATTATTATATGGTATATTTCAATAATCCTCAAGAGTCGTTAATTGATGAAGTTCTTTTATAATTATGACCTATACACCATTTCTTAATAGAAATTGAACTAAACCAATATTTGAACTTAACTAACGAGTAAATAGGTTTCATTCATATCTGCTACGTAATTGTATGATTGAATGAAATAAAAATTACTTCATTAGGAAATATAAATTATTTTATACTTTTTAGTGCATTTCGAAGTCAGCGTATTTTTTTTCTTAAAATTATTTTATATGATTACTACTCAAATGTTGACATCTCTGCTGAAAATCAGTAAATTTCTAAGCGTTATATCTCGAAAACTAATAAAAATTAGGTAAATTAATTAGACCTTAATGAATTCGTCTTGAAAAGCACTATCGTCTGATCGAAAAAAAAAATATATAGTTCCATTTAAAAAACGAAACTTCACCATCGTATCTTTTACAATAATAACACTAAACAAATTTTTTTTGCGCCAAAACATATAGCCCTGCAATTTCCATATAAACACTTTTTCGTGACAACAGCAGTTCATGAAATATCGCGCTGTCACACTTACAATTAGGCGCGGACACCCTATAGTATTTCAAAACAATTATACTTTTAAATAGTCAACTATTCATAGATAAATATCTGTTCATTTTTTCATGTTTTAATGTTCTTTTCATTAAAAAAGAAGTAAACATTTCTCTAGTCTTAACAAGTTTTTAATATTGAGTGTTACACGTTTAATTTACAAGTGTTTCTGCATACTAACATAATATGTATACAATATGTACTCAAATGTAGTTTGGTATATAAGAGTAGGTTCAATTTAAAAACTGTAGATTACTGATAACAAAATAAATGGAAAATTTCATTATGGTTTTTTAATAAAAATTTGTTGTTCATTAAGAAACTACAAGCAATTTATTGAAAAATTCGTTGTTTGTTCCACTCGAAAACTCGATAATTTATAGTAAAAATAATTATACTTTTCTTTTCACTAAATCTTAAATTTTAAATTCATATATTATAAACATTGTTTTCTCATAGAAATAAAACCGAAATTACAAAATGGCAACATTTTAGTAACAATTTTATATTTAAAAACTGCATTATTTCACGGCTTGATTCTTATTATCGGAGAAAAAAACCACGAAAGAATTCTGTTAGATAAAATTTTGCATTTCAACTTACCACATCGCAGAACAATCGAAAACATGGTATAAAGTACTTACCTGAAACAAAAATATTACAAAACTTGTATTATTTCGAAATGTTACATGAAATTAAAAATGTGATTATACTTTTTATAATCAAATGTGTTATATTAATTGTGATTGTTTTATTTGACTGCATATTAACCATAATATGTATCCAAACGTAACCGTAAATATTATTTTACGATACTTTTTTCAAATAATATCATACTTTATTTCGAGACCCGTTATTTTCAAATAATGAACAACTTAGGAATAGCACTAACATTACCACCCCGTGCAGATGAATTCGTGAAAAGAGTTTTCGATGTAACACGAGCCGGCCATTGCTCTGGCAAGTGGCTTTGTTCAGCGGATTAATTAAATACGCACGTTGAACTCATTACCATATGTTTCCATTAATATGCACAGTTGAGCTTGTTACCTAAGCAACGATGATCACAATCCGCGGAGGAGTTCGCATTGCTGCATTTAATTTACAGAAAAACTCATTGTCAACCGAGCTTTCGTGTCACTGAATTTCAGCTTATCTTGTTCCATGAAAATTATTACAGTAATATCTATGATCTATTTTAACATCTATTAGATTAGTTACACTTTATCTACTTCTATCTACCCTTTTCACCGGCTGCTACATTCATTCATTTATTTTTTTATTGGAAGTAGGGTAAATGTAGCCATTACTCAATTACTTATTTCATTGAATTAAAAATGATAAATAATGCTAACTATTAAACAAAAAATTAAAACGTTAAAATTTTAAGTATTTTATTTACTAGTATAAAGATTGTTCTCTTATTATTGTGCTTAATAACAAGTATAACTACAGATAAAATAAATTTCTAAATAATATATATATATATATATTCCTAAGATCATCAATTTCATTAAATAAAATAGTTGAATCTATAGAATGAATCTACAGAATAACAAAAAAAACATGCAATTAACGATATAATAATAAAAGATATTACTTTTTATCTATATAATTATAAAATATCAAGGGCACATCAGATTAAATTTAGCTTTGATTAATAATTTTATGATAAATATTCAACGCTGCAATTTAAAAACCTGACTTGTTTAAAAACTTATAGGCATCAATATTCAATAATCAACATTTTATACAAAACTTTGTATATGTTGGTGAAAATATAACCACTTTTAAATCTACACATTCTTGTATGTCTGATAGTAGAACAGTTTATTTTAATAGTTTATTTTAATAGTTTAGAGTTTACAATAACGATCAGTGTGTGAATAAATCCACTTATCCGTCACATTTCTCCTATGTATTGGAACCTCATCAGTCCCAATGACAGTTTTATTTTTCACTCAATTGCCTGAATAATTAACACGAAAATATTAAATAAAAAATTATTTAAATTAATCATTTTGGAGAAGATTATCTACAATATTTTTTAAGAATTCGCGCCTTGCTACTTCAAAAACAAAAACTGGTCCAAAACCAAATTTGATTTGGGATGTTTCATTCAACAGTATGTCAAAGAAAAAATAATTTGTGCCCAGTTTAAATTTTGTATCTTGATTGCGGGCACAGTAAAATAAAAAAAAAATCATGTTCCTGCACATTATCCTCTAGATTAGTACACAAAAAATTGTGTAAAAAAATCGGTGCCATTTCAGTTTATAACAGAAATATTACAGAATTTATCGAGATTTTCTAATTGAAAATTCAAGCTGTGAAAAATAAAAAGTACAAAAAATAAAAGAAATAGTGACATTGTATTAAAGAGGTTGCAGTTCTATGTTCATATTTTTTGAGTAAATACATATCACTGATACTATTTCTATATATTTATTTCAGATTTTTTACTTAATTGTACCATAATCAAAAGAATTTTCATAAGTTCTTAGAAGTTGCGTTGTTCGTGTCTTGAAATATTGACAAGACTTTAAAACATGTTAGTAGCCTTGTAACAAAGTATGAGTTTCCTAAACCAATCTTTTTATGTATACATATGTTCAAATCCAACATGAATTGAATTTTTCTTCTAATCATATGATATTGATCTTTTCCTATTTTTTGTTCGCGTAAATATATAATACTGATTAATATTTATTTGCAAATGAATTGCTAGTAGCTTCGCTCCATGAACCTATAGAACTTCATTGAAGCCGTCAAATAAGAGTGCATGGAGTTGTCCTGTAGTGAACATTGATCATGAAAATTTGGCCACGAGCAAACCAAGCAAAGGATACAGAAATTCCGATTGGATTTGTAGGTTTCGGTCATGTAGCGCGTAATAGCGCGAACAATCATCCTCTGGGAAGTGAAGCCTTCTGTTTGGTACAGGGTATCGACATAGGCTCGCGATAACCATTCTGATACGAGTCTGATGACAGTGACACATTGCAGCCGATTTTGGCCTCTCATAGGCCGGTTACTGGCACCAGGGTCATATACCATCGGCGCATAACTGGTAATTACACGAGTCGAGTGTTTACCGCACCCCAAGCCTTCCTTTATTGCCGCCCCCGACGACTTCGCGGAAACGACGGATCGTAGAAACGCCATTTGTACCTAGGCACCGGAGGAAA